AGAACTGATAGAAGCATTATTGTCGTTGTTAGACGCGGTCAATCATTTCCGACTCACAGAGACCCTATGTACAACAGAACAAAACATTGCCCAGTCTTTGCGCCATCCTCATAATCATTGTTAAGCTTGAGTCCATTTTTGCAGCCACTGTGTCAACCCATCTCATCAAGGGTCTTCCTCTTTTTCACTGACCCTCTACTTTACCAAGCATGGTGTCCTTCCCCAGGGACTGGTCCCTCCTGACAACATGTCCAAGGTATGTGAAATGAAGCCTTACCACCCTTGCTTCTTGGGAGCATTCTGGCTGTACTTCTCCTAAGAGATTTGTTCATTCTTTTGGCAGTCCACAGTATATTCAGTATTCTTCACCAACGCGGTAATTCATAGGCGTCAATTCTTCGGTGGTCCTTATTCATTGTCCAGCTTTCGCACGCCTACGAGGTGATTGAAAACACCGTGGTTTGGGTCAGGCGCACCTTAGTCCTTAAAGCGACATCTTTGCTTTTTAACACTTTAAAGAGTTTTTGCAGCAGATTTGCCCAAAGCAATGTGTCATTTGATTTCTTGACTGCTGCTTCCATGGGCATTGATTGTGGATCCCAGTAAAATGAAATCCTTGACAACTTCAGTCTTTTCTCCGTTTATCGTGATGTTTCTTATTGGTCCAGTTGTGAAAATTTTTGTTTTCTTTATGTTGAGGTGTAGTTATGTTAAAGCCTGTAGTCTTTGATCTTCATCAGTAAGTAAGTTCTCTTCACTTTCAGCAAGCAAGGTTGTGTCATCTGCATAACGCAGATTGTCAGTGAGTCTTCCTCCAGTCCTGGTGCCCCGTTCTTCATATACTCCAATTCTCAGATTATTTGCTTAGCATACAGTTTGAATAAGTATGGTGAAAGGATATAACCCTGACTTTAAACCATGCTGTATCCCCTTGTTCTGTTCGAACGACTACCTCTTGGTCTGTGTACAAGTTCCTTATGAGTACAATTAAGTGTTCTGGAATTCCCATTCTTTGCAATGTTATCCGTAACTTATTATGATCCAAACAGTAGAGTGCCTTTGCATAGTCAGTAAAACACAGGTAAACCTCTTTCTGGTATTCTCTGCTTTCAGCCAGGATCCATCTGACATCAGCAATGTTATGCCTCATTCCATGCCCTCTTCTAAATCCAGCTTCAATTTCTGGCAGTAACCAGTCGATGTACTGCTGCAACCACTTCTGAATGATCTTCAGCAATATTTTACTTGTGTGTGCTATTAATGATACTGTTCGATAATTTCTGCATTTTGTTGGATCACCTTTATTTGAAATAGGCGTAAATATGTATCTCTTTCAGTTAGTTGGCCAGGTAGCTGTCTTCCAGATTTCTTGGCATAGACGAGTGAGCACTTCCAGCACTGCATCCGTTTGTTGAAACATCTCAGTTGGCGTTCCATCAATTCCTAGAGCTTTGTTTTTCGCCGCTCGCCTCAGTGCATCTTGAACTTCTTCCTTCAGTACCGTCGGTTCTTGATCATATGCTACTTTCTGAAATGATTGAACGTCGACCAGTTCTTTTTGGTACAGTGACTCTGTGTACTCCTTCCATCTTCTTTTGATGCTTTCTGCGTCGTTCAGTAGTTTGCCCATAGAATCCTTCAATATTGCAACTCGAGGCTTGAGTTTTTTCTTCAGTTCTTTCAGCTTGAGAAATGCTGAGCATGTTCTTCCCTTTTGGTTTTCTTACTCCAGGTCTTTGCACATGTCATCGTAATACTTTGTCTTCTCGAGCCGCCCTTTGAAATCTTCTGTTCAACTCTTATTTCATCATTTCTTCTGTTTGCTTTAGCTACTTGATGTTCAAGGGCAAGTTTCAGAGTCTTATCTGACATCCATTTTGGTCTTTTCTTTATTTTCTGTCTTTTTAATGACCTCTTGCTTTCTTCATGTATCATGTCCTTGATGTCATTCCACAACTTGTCTGGTCTTCGGTCGTTAGCGTTCAGTGCATCAAATCTATTCTTTTGATGGTCTGTAAATTCAGGTGGGATATACTCAAGGTTGTGCTTTAGCTCTCGTGGACTTATTCTAGTTTTCTTTGCTTCATCTTGAACTTGCATATGAACAGTTGATCGGTTCTACAGTCTGCCCCTGGCCTTGTTCTCACTGACAATATTGAGCTTTTCCATAATCTCTTTCCACAGATGTAGTTGATTTGATTCCTGTGTATTCCATCCGGCGAGGTCCACATGTATAGTTGCTGTTTATGTTGCTGAGAAAGGTATTTGCAATGAGGAGTCATTGGTCATGCAGAATTCTATCATGTGATCTCTGGCATCATTTCTATCACCAAGGCCATATTTTCCACCTACCGATCTTTCTTTGTTTCCAACTTTCACATTCCAATCACCATTAATTATCATTGCATCTTGATTGCATGCTTAATAAATTTCAGGCTGCAGAAGTTGGTAAAAATCTTTAATTTCTTCATCTTCAGCCTTAGTGGTTGGTGCGTAAATTTGAATAATAGTCATGTTAACTGGTCTTCCTTGTTAGGTGTATGCATATTCTACCACTGCCAGCACTGTACTTCAGGATAGATCTTGAAATGCTTTTTTGACGATGAATACAACGCCATTCTGCTTCAATTTGTCATTCCCAGCGTAGTAGATTATATGATTGTCCAATTCAAAATGGCCAATACCAGTCCATTTCAGCTTACTAATGCTTAGGATATCAGTGTTTATGCCTTCCATTTCATTTTTGATGATTTCCTATTTTCCTGGATTCATATTTTGTACATTCCACATTCCTGTTATTAGTGGATGTTTGCAGCTGTTTCTTCTCATTTTGAGTCATGCCACATCAGCAGTGAAGGTCCTGAAAGCTTGACTCCATCCACGTCATTAAGATCGTCTACTTTGAGGAGGCGGCTCTTCCCCAGTAGTATTTTGAGTGCCTTCCAACCTGCGGGGCTCATCTTCTGAAACTATATCAGGCAATGTTCTGCTGGTATTCATAAGGTTTTCACTGGCTAATTCTTTTCAGAAGTAGACTGCCAGGTCCCTCTTCTTAGTCTGTCCTTGTCTGGAAGCTCTGCTGAAACCTGTCCACCACGAGTGACCCTGCTGCTACTTGAATACCAGTGGCATAGCTTCCGGTATCACAGCAACACGCAAGCCACCACAGTACGACACACTGACAGATGGAATAAGCACTGCTAATTAGTAGTTATTTAAATGACCATTAAAATAGCCCTCATTTTTATCTTGGGATGCAAATACTCAGAGTATGAAATGTTAGCCTTCTGGTTGTTGTTCTGCCTCCACTGTTCTCCAGACATTAAAAACAAAAATGATCCTAGTGTCTGATTCTTTTCATCTCCCACTGCTTCCTGCTTCATTCTGTCATCCTTTCTGGTTTTCTTTTTTGATTTTATTTTGTTGTTGAGAATATGCACATCAAAACATACACCAATTCAGCCATTTCTACATGTACAGTTCAGTGACATTGATTACATTCTTCGAGTTGTGCAACCATTCTCACTCATTTTCTGCAATATTCCTCCCACATTAACATAAACTCACTGCCCCCAAGGTTTCTGTGTAATCTTTTGAATTGCTGTTGTCACTTTGATCCCATACTTAAAACAGCATAGCTGAAGCCAGACATTTTTTATTAGTTAAGCTAAACTATTGTTTGGTTTTAAGAAGATGTCGGGATATTTTTGGTTTAAGGTCTAAAGGTTATTTCAGGGCAATAGTTTCAGGGGTTCATCTACCCTCCATGGCTCCAGAAAGTCTTTAGTCCATCAGAATTTGAAATTCTGTTCTGTATTTTCCCCTTTTGATCAGTATTCAGTAGAATCTTTGATCAAAATGTTCAGTAATGATGACCGGGCACCACCCACTTCTTCTGGTCTCATCCCAAGGAGGCAGTTGTTCATAGAGGCAATTAGCCACACATTCCATTTCCTCCTCCTATTCCTGGCTCTCCTTCTTCCTCTGTTGCTCCAGACAAATAGATTTGGTTTTCTTTTTGTGCTGTGCTTTCTACTTGCTTTTGTTTTCCTTGGTCAGCCTTATTCTGGAGAGTAGTAGTCTCCTGATCAAGAAATACTTCATGCAGTGTCACAGAGCTTCTGTGTGGTGGGGTCTGGAAAGCTCTTGTGGGACCTCCAAGCCTCTTTGCAAGAGCAGGAGTGTTGGGTGATGAATATGGACTCTTAACCATGAGCTCTCAAATGAGTTCTTTGCTTTTCCTCCTAAGCCAACTACATGGTCTTCTCATTCCAGATTCCAAGTCATCTTTTGGGACCATTTCGTTTCCATCCAGTGCTCAGTCATAGCACAGCTTAGTGACTGAGCTACAGTCGTTAAAGGCCTCACTGAAATGCAGAAAGATAGCATCCCCACTAGGCTGTCAGTATCTCCATTTGAAGTTCTAGCATATTAGCTCCCTGCACTCTGCTTTCAGGCTCTCACATGGGCTAGGCATGTACAGAGCGGGAACTCACCAGGACTGCCTTGTTTTTCCAGGTCTCACAATTTCTCCGTCTTCGACAGGGTGCAGCCTTACCACTTTTTTGTTGTTCTCTATTAGTGGAAGATACTTGAGTTTTCCCTCTCTGACATGGTTCTGCCTTACACAGCTTCTGGCTTTCACAGGTTTTACTGTATATCCAGTCACTTCAGAAAGCCCCACTTTATTAAAGGGATTGATCATTTAGGGCTGATTACTTTCATTTATATCAAACTTATCCTTTAGTTTTTATAGGTTTACGTAAGAATTGTCTTTATTTTCTTGACGTGCACGTGTTCCTGGCTGTTAGTTGTGGCATCTTCCTTGGCCCCTTCTTTCCTCCTTTCCACATAGCTGCCACGCACCTGGTACAAATCTGAAATTATCTGTGTTAATTTTTGGATAATGATGGTCACGATTTGCTAACATGGGAGTGAGTTTGTACATGATCACTGTCTACATGTATCAGCTCTTATTTCTGAATTTGGCTTTTTTGCAGGTCCCTAGCTGTTGGTAGTAAGTCCGGTTATAAATTTTTCTCCCTTTCTTCTGTGGATAAGCTGGAACAGATCTATGAATGCAGTAAGTGTTTGCTTTATTTTTTCCCTTATTAAAAAAAAAAAAAAAGAAAAGTTATACTTGAATTAGAATACGTTCTTATGTTCATACACTATGGTTAAACTCCAAATACCTGTGAGCACCACTCTTCTTCCATCTTAGTCTCACCAAGAGGTGACAGGTGTTAACAGTTTGATTATATTCTTCCAGACCATTTTCTGTTCACTTGCTTACATATAGATGTACATATAGAAATGCTTTGTTTTATGGGTTGTCTTTTTAAATACATATCATACTATATGTATTATCCTGTAATTTTTCCTCTTTTTCATGCCATTTAAACTATTTAGGTTTCTGTCATAAAGACCTTCTAGAAAATTGGAAATTTTACAGCCCCAGTAGAATTTATTTATTTTCTTGGGTTATCATTTTATGGCATTGAGTAACCTACATGTCAGAAGAGGAGTGGGGATAGCAGAGAGTTGGGCTTGGGCTTCTTGTTCTGTCACTGTGTGCTTTTAGATAGGTATTACTCCTGAGGCTCAGAGGTGACGTGACCTATCTATAAGATTGCGGTCAGAATTAGAGAGCTTATGTATGTGTGCACCTTACAGTGTGTGCATAGTTCATTCAGCATAGAGCTTACTGAATAAAGAGTAGTAGAAACAGCCCCCACCCTTTCGCCACATGAGAATATGATGGAAAGCTTTGGACTCTTTCCACATACATAACTTTTTTTAAAAATCGAGATAATTGTGGATTTGCATGCAGTTGTAAGAAATAATACAGATCCCTGGTACCCTTTGCCCAGTTTCCTTCAGTGGTATTTGCAAAACTGTAGTATAATATTACAACCAGGATATTGACAGAGATACAGTCCACCACTCTTATTCAGATTTCCCCAGTTTTACTTGTAGTTATTTGTGAGCGTGTGTCTTAACGTCTATACAGTTTTATCACCTGTGTCATGTATTATCCTGTGTCCTCCACCATGGTCAAGAACTGAAGTGTCTCACTGCCACAAGGATCCTTCGTGTCACCCTTTTATAATCACACCCACTTCCCTCCTCTTACCACCCAGCCCTAACCCCTGACAACCACCAATCTGTCTTCCATTTCTTAAAATTGTCATTTTGAAAATGCTATATAAACGGAGGTATATTAAAAAAATGAAACAAGACCCATACCTCACACCATGCACAAAAGCTAACTCAAAATGGATTTAGACCTAAATATAAAATCTAAAATGATTAAAGATCATGGAAGAAAAAATAGGGACAATGCTAGGAGCCCTCATACATGGCATAAACAGAATATGAACCATAAGTAACAATGCACAAACACTAGAAGAGAAATTGGATAACTGGGAGCTCCTAAAAATCAAACACTTATGCTCACCAAAAGAGTAAAAAGACAGCTTACAGACGGGGAAAAAAATTTTGGCTACGACAAATCTGATCAGCGTCTAATCTCTAAAATCTACAAGATACTGCAAAACCTCAACAACAAAAAGACAAATAACCCAATTAAAAAATGGGCAGAGGATATGAACAGGCATTTCGCCAAAGAAGACATTCAGGCAGCTAATAGACACATGAGGAAATGCTCACGATCGTTAGCCATTAGAGAAATGCAAATCAGAACAATGAGATACCGTCTCACCCCAACAAGGCTATCATTAATCCAAAAAACACAAAATAATAAATGTTGGAGAGGTTGTGGAGAGACTGGAACACTTATACACTGCTGACAGGAATGTAAAATGGTACAGCCACTTTGGAAATCAATTTGGCACTTCCTTAAAAAGCTAGAAATAGAAGTTCCATATGATCCAGCAATCCTACTCCTTGGAATATATCCTAGAGAAATAAGAGCCGTCACACGAATGGATATATGCACACCCATGTTCATTGCAGCACTGTTCACAATAGCAAAAAGATGGAAACAGCTTAGGTGTCCATCAATGGATGAATGGATAAACAAATTAGGGTATATTCACACAGTGGAATACTACGCAACGATGAACAACAATGAATCCATGAAACATGACATGGATGAATCTGGAAGGCATTTTGCGGAGTGAAATTAGTTGTAAAAGGACAAATATTGTATGAGACTATTATAAGAACCCAAGAAAAGGTTTAAACGCAGAAAAAAACATTCTTTGATGGTTTCAAGGGTGGGGAGGAAGGGTGGGGCTATTCACTAACTACATAGTAGATAAAAATTATCTTAGGTGAAGGGAAGGACAGCACACAATACAGGGGAGGTCGGTACAGCTGGACTAAACCAAAAGCTAAGAAGTTTCCTGAATACAACCAAACACTTCAAGGAACAGAGTAGCAGTGACAGGGATCTGGGGACCATGTTTTCAGGGGACATCTAGGTCAATTGGCATAACAGTTTATTAAGAAAATGTTCTGCATCCCACTTTGGTGAGTGGCGCCTGAGGTCTTAAAAGCTAGCATGTGCCCATGTAGGATACATCAACTGGTCCCAACCCACCTGGAGCAAAGGAGAATGAAGAACACCAAAGACACAAGGAAACTATTAGCCCAGGAGACAGAAAAGGCCATATAACCCAGAGACTGCATCAGCCTGAGACCAGAACTAGATGGTGCCAGGCTACCACCAGTGGCCACCCTGACGGGGAACACAACAGAGAGTCCCTGATGGAGTAGGAGAAAAGTGGGGTGCAGAACTCAAATTCTTGGAAAAAGACCAGACTTATTGGTCTGACTGAGACTGGAGGGACCCCGGAAGACATGGTCCTCAGACTCTCCATTAGCCCAGAACTGAAACCATTCCCAAAGGCAACTCTTCAGACAAAGATTAGACTGGATTATGGGACATAAAATGATCCTTATGAAGAGAGTGCTTCTTAGCTCAAGTAGGTACATAAGACTAAACGGGCAGCTCCTGTCCAGAGGTGAAATGAGAAGGCAAAAAGGGACAGGAGCTGGTTGAATGGACGTGGGAAATCGGGGGTGGAAAGGAGGAGTGTGCTGTCACATTGTATGTAGAGCAGCTAGGGTCACATACCAATGTGTGTATAAATTTTTGTATGAGAAACTGACTTGAACTTTAAACTTCACTTATTAAAAAAAAAAAAAAAAAAGCTGTATAACCTTTCAGGATTGGGTTTTTTCCGCTCAGCATAGTTCCCTGGAGATTCAGTCAGGTTGTTGCATGTGTCACTAGTTTGTTCCTTATTGCTGAGGAGTATCCCATGGTGTGGACGCACCGTTGTTTGTCTGACAGTTTGTCACCTACAGTAGGACATTTGGGCTGACTCCCAACTTTGAGCTGTTACCAGTAAAGCCGCTATAAACGTTCAAGTACAGGTTTTTGTGTGAACGTATGTTTTCATGTCTCTGGGATAATGCCCAAGAATGCATTTCCTAGGTTGGATGATAGTTGTACATTTAGTTTTTTGAGAAATTATCACGTTGCTTTCCAGAATGAGTGTTCCATTTTACATTCCCACCAAGAACATATAAGAGATCCAGTTTCCCCACATCCTTGCCATATTTGCTTTTGTCCCTTTTTTAAATTTTAGCCATCCTGATAGGTATGTGGTGATGTCTCATTGTGGTTTTAATTTGCATTTCCCTAATGGCTAATGTTGTTGAACATCTTTTCATGTACTGGTTTGCCATCTGTGTGTCCTCTTCAGTGAAATGTCTGTTCCTGTCTTTTGCCTATTTTCTAATTGGATTGATTTTTTTTTTTATATATTGAGTTTTGTAGTATCTAGCATGTATCCAAGATACTAGTCTTCTGTTGGGTAATTTGTAAATATTGCCCACCCCCCACATACATAACATTTTCAGCAGACCTCCTGAAGCCTACCCATGGCCCTGGCCTAAGTTAAGAACTTTTGTGTCAGAGAACAGAGGAGTTCAGGATTCACAATATACTTATTGTATTAGTCACACTGGAATTTGGGTTCAAGGTGATATTTACTCTTTATTATTTTACATGAGCATGAAGTTTTAGGGAATTGGGGTCTCCTCCTTATTGAGAATGCCAGGAGTTCCTTCCTGAGTGGTTCTGTATTATCAACTGTGCTTCCGCTATGGATTGCTGTTCCATTTTGGAATTCCGCTTTACCTAATAATCTCTCTTTAACAATGGGAGGTTTGGCTGGTTAATGTGCAGAGACATCTCATATTTGTTCTTGTTTCCATTCATCCAGCAAACATTTCTATCGAGGACATGCCATGTGCCAGGCCTGTCCTGGCCATTGGAGAGATGGCAGTGACAAGGTTCCTACTCCCGTGGCACTTAACGTTTAAATGGAGGAAGACAGATGAGAGACAAATGACTGTGTTGGTGTGGGATATTGGGCTGGGGGCACAATGGTGAGCAAGCACAGATGTAAATGTTATTGTTGTTAGCGTCTGTCACATTGGCTCCGACTCATGGCAACTCCATGTGTAACAGAGTAGAACTGCTCTATAGGGTTTTCTTGGCTGTAATCTTTATGGAAGCAGATTGCCAGGCCTTTCTTCTGTGGAGTGGCTGCATGGGTTAACAGCCGATTGCCACCTGTTAACATAAGGTGAAAGGTCCCTGAGTGGCGTGACAGTTTGCACTTGACTACTAACCTAAAGGTTGGTGGTTCGAACCTACCCAGCGGCACTGTGGAAGAAAGGCCTGGCAAGTCAGAATTGGGTTGACATGAGATGAAGACTCAGGAAAAAGTAGTTTCTTATGCCAGGGACTTGAAGTTCTGGCATTCTCTGGCCAACAGGGTTTAGGGCCCTGCAGGCTCCCCACCAGGCCCTGGCTCCTCCTCGCTCCTGCCTTCAAATGACCTTCAGGAACTCCAGCTTGCGCTTCCTTTCCCCTCACCTCCACCAGTGGAGAGGGTTCTGGCTCTCCCCAGCAAGTCCCTTTGTTGATGCTGTCCCAAAGACAAGCACCTGGGCCCTTTAAAGGGAGATGGTCTGCTGAGCATACTGGGGCACAGAAGTCTCACAATTGCTGTCCCTGACTCTTGGTTCCCACCTGGCTTTCTT